TAACTGACAGTGCTTCACTAGGGGGAGGCTGAGGAGCCTCTCACCTAGAAAAGTGAAAGGCATGCGGCGACCCACTGAACACAAGGTCGTGACCCACTTTTGGGTCACATCCCACCAGTTGAGAACCAAGTACCTAGAGGACTCTTTCATTGAGAATACAAATGAGTAGAATATATAGACCGGTCAGTCTAATCTGTGAACCACACGTCCCTCTTATTCTAGGGTACATGCACTTCCACCAGCTATAGCTTTTTAGGTGTTCTGGCTACCTGGGCACCTAGTGTTGGCCCAGTCTTAAAACATTTGACATTGTGTGTAGCTCTTAGAGCTGCAACAGTTAATCGATTTAGTCGATTAAAATCGACGATTGAAAACGTTGGCAACGTTTCCGATCGTCGATTCGTCTATCGATTGCTATTGATTTGCCTGTTCCGGGCTCCACATGCGGCCTGAGCCGCGCTGCTCCCGCTGCGGCAGTCGTGCCCACAGCACAGGCCGCGTAAGCCACGCCCACCACACGCTGAAGCCGCGCACGCCGCTGCTCTCCTTGGCGCGATCTCCCTCACCCGTCGCTGGGCCGCTGACAATCGAGGGCCCATCTTCTGAAAGCAAGTCAGTGGTGGAATAGGTGTACGGAGCTGCAGTGTGGAACAGGTGTGCAGGGATGCAGTGGTGGAACAGGTGTGCGGGGATGCCGTGGTGGAACACGTGTGCGGGGATGCAGTGGTGGAACACGTGTGCAGGGATGCAGTGGTAAAATCGATGTGCGGTGGTGGAATAGGTGTATGGGGGTGCAGTGTGGACCAGGTGTGTGGGGGTGCAGTGGTGGAATAGGGGTGCAGGGATGCAGTGGTGGAACAGGTGTGCAGGGATGCAGTGGTGGAACAGGTGTGCAGGGATCCAGTGGTGGAACAGGTGTGCGGGGGTGTGGTGGTGGTGGAAAAGGGGTATGGAGGTGCAGCGTGGAACAGGTGTAAGAGTGTGATGTGGTGGAATAGGTGTTTGGGGGTGCTGTGGTGGAACAGGTGTACAAGGGTGCTGTGTGAAACAGGTGTATGGGTGCAGTAGTGGAATAGGTGTGTGGGGGTGCTGTGTGGAACAGTTGTATGGGTGTGAAGCGGTGGAACAGGTGTATGAAGGTGCAGCGAGGAACAGGTGTATTGGCGTGCAATGGTGGAATAGTTGTGTGGGGGTGCCGTTGTGGAACAGGAGTACAGGGGTGCTATGGTGGAACAGGTACGAGTTACGCTACGCACGCCACGACAACGCCTCGTATGCCACGCCCACCAAATAAGCCAGACACACGCCCGCAGAGCACGCCGCCGCGACTTACAAGGGTTCAGAAACAGGTAAGGGGGACCTGTTTTAATGTTTCCTGTTTTAAAAAAAAAAAAAAGCGGCACACTGTGGAACACCAGCAGCTAAAGAGGAACAACAAATCCCAGCAATAATATATGAAACACCCGGTATAATGTATTATTGCTGGGACTTGTTGTTCCTCTATAGCTGGTGGTATTCTCCATTGCGATGTATAATGTATTGCTGGGATTTGTAGTTCCTCTATAACTGGTCAGTGGTAATCTGCATTGTGCAGTATAATCATTATATTGCACACCACACTTTTTTTTTTTTTACTTCCACCGCTCCAAGCTTGCTCCTGTGATGGACTACAATCTCAATACAAACTAGTAGTCCATCACTGGAGCCTTTTTTTCTCTCTTTTTTTTTATCCGATTAATCGAACTTAATAATCGGCCAACTAATCGATTATGCAAATAATCGTTAGCTGCAGCCCTAGTAGCTCTCCTTTATGACCATGTTGTAAAAATTAGGGAACAGCCTTTTAAATGTTCTAAATTCTATGGGAGTGATATTGTGTTTTTGCTAGAATTGCGAACTGTGTTTCAGTGACACTACTGCTTATAGAAGGGTTGCGTGGGTTATTTCAGGAGAACATGTCTATGTTTGGACTGGCTTGGAAAGTGTCCAGAGTGTTCAGTGTTTGGTATGCTGATATAGATTATTTAGATAAAGATCATGTATTAGATCCTACAGAGGAGGGTTTTAATTAGTAGACCTTGCTGCCCTGACGACTGCAAGAAAACAAGGGGAGAGTCAAAAGTGAACATTTTACCTTTGGTTCAGCAGTAACTCACACGGTTGCTGTTTTGCATACTATTTGCATGCTGGTTTTTACAATCTGTTTGATTGGCAGTAAACTGAAGAGTGGCATATTTCCATCAAGCTGATGTTTACACAGAAGTCATATCTGAACTAAAGAGCTTTCTTTCTGTAATGTCTTTTTGTTATATTCTCCCACATTGAGGGTATTGCCTTTTTCTTTTATTATGTAATGTTAATGTTCAATTGTACCCTTTCGTGTGCTAGCATGTTTTGGAAAAGTATCTTCAGTTGATGTTTCTTCCTAAATACAATTTTTTTTTTCTGCTATTAGAAATGGCTCAATGATAAAGTGCTGGAAAAATCATTTGTCCTATTCAAACTGACAACCATATTATACTGCACAGGAAACAGTTGACCCTAATGCATCGTGACACTGCTTTTATCATCCTAGTCCTATGTTTGTTTTTAAAGTGACACTGAACTCAGGAGTTAAATCTTAAAAATACATTCAAGTGCCCTATTAACAAAAAATGCATCTTATTTGTGTATCACTCAGCTGTAGATCCTCCAATAATCTCTGAATTGGTGCTGACACTGTCCTTCCTTCTGGAGGGTGGCTACTTTTGTTCCCCATGGTCCCTGTGTGTGTGTGTGTGTGTGTGTGTTGTAAAGTATTCACCGCCCTAAACTCGATCCCATGATTGAGTACGATCTCATGTTTAGTTTACTAATTTGTATCGAAATTGTAGTCCAAATGTCTACTAGTGTATGGCCAGCTTTATTAACTGAGTTTTACTTTGTATCCGCCCTATGCGGCACGCATTTTGGGGAGAGAGGCGCAGCACAAGGAGCCTATCTGTTGTGCTGCAGTGCAAAGAGCTTGATGATGGCAGAAAAGTGCAGAGCAACAGAGAGATGATCTAATCTGACTGCTGCTTTTCTCTTCACTGTCTAGTCACAGCCTGGGGAAGGCGAGGAGAACTGTAGCGGAGAAAAATAGGTCTCTTGCTCTGCTAGGTAAGGCTCTATGGCAGAGCTGTGTAAATCCCAGAACAGGATGGACAAATACCAATCCTGTGCCATGTAAAACAGATCCATTTTATGTATTCAATTTGTGTATTTAGCGTTTTTTCTGGAATGGACCTAAATTAAAATAAAAAAAAAAACCCAATGCTTTAATGTTATAGAAAATTGTAGTCAGTTTAAAGCAAGCAAACTGTGTAGCAGGCACCATTAAGTACATTATATGGCCAAAAATAAGTGGATATCCCTCTAAATTAAGCTAATGTTCCTAAAGACTTGGTTTGGTGTGGAGGAACCTGGGTAGCATGCACCGAGCCCTGACTTCAACCCTATTGAACACCTTTTTGGAATAGATTGGAATGCCAATTATGAGGCAGGTCTTCTCGTCCATCTTTACCAGACCTCATAAATGATCTCTTGGCTGAATGGGCACAATATCCCATACTCTTTAAATATTGTCAAAAGCACATATAGGTGATAGGCGGACACAGCTAAATTATTCCGGGTATTTCTTAAGAAGGGAGCCATTTTGCATACTTGCAGCCATACCTTTTTATATAAGTCAGAAAATAACATTTTATATTAATGATTAATCAAATAACCCAATGTTGTTTGTTCGTCTTGTAACACGTGCAGCCTTATTCAATAATGTTCAAGGAGTGAAGCCAGAAAGGAACCTATGGCAACCAAATACAATTCAACATATTGAAGTTAAATCGGTATGAGAGAGGTTTTTTTAGAGTCCCCTTGCGTGCATAACAGTTTCTTTTTTGGTGAGGATACACCATGTCTTCGGTGCTCCTCTAATCATTGACATAATGAAGCCCCGAAACAGGTTTTTAGCACACCAGTGAGTTGTGGTGTAAAAATTATGTAATATGTGGAATTCTAATTGGGGATGCACAGAAATTTCGGCCGCTGAAACATATTGGCCGAAAATGGCACTTTTGAAGAAATGTCGTAAGTACCATTTTGTGGCCATAATTGCGGTGCATCTCTCGTTTCTCTCTCCCCCGCTGGGTGCTGTTGTATGTCCTCTTGACACAATGCAGCGGGGAGCAGAGAGCTGTCATCGGTCTGTGTCACAAAAGGCCTTGCTTTTATCTCGCAACGCCCCGCTCGGCCTCCTGCGACAGAGACATCAGGATGGAGAGTGGTGTGTGGGCGGAGATATATCCGCTATCACAGGTGGCCCGAGCCAGTGGTGCGGGGGAGGAGTTGGCTGTGAAATGCGACCCAAGCTCTCCTACTCAACCGCCGGCTCAGCCTCCTGTAACAGCGAGTCAGGAGGGAGAGCGGTCATAAGCAGTCAGTGTTCGCTGAGTGCTTGTAAATATTTGAGGACATAGTATGTTTACTGTGCCCCCAATTGTGAATGACCAGGAAGTGCTCCACGCCACTTCCTGTTTATTCATGAATGTGGATATGGTAAACCTACCATCTCCACAAGTTATGAATGAACAAGAACACTTAGTATAGAGGCTTCCTGTTCATGCATAACAGGGGCTGCAGAAAAAGGGATTGCGGACCCTGTGTCCTCAATCTTTTTCTGTTGTAAACGGGAAATGCCAGGGGACGGTTTAGACCCCTATTATTTCCACAGAGACTCTGACAGTAAAG